AGTACAGGGCGACACCAATAGAATATCGTATAGTGTATATGTTACTCCGTACATGTTACAATGTTACATACGAGTACACAGTAGCATACAGTGGAGTTGAATATTTGTTTACACGCAAGAAACTGTATTCATTGTGTATTAAAAGCAAGCTATCACTTAAATAAATAAATAAAATCACTTTATTCTTGTACAGTAAACCTGCTTAAAGCGAACTTTTCCGTTTTGGCAGGTTTCTGTTTCATTCAGGTTCCGTTTTAGACAGTTTTACTGCAAAAAACTAAACGTATAAAACTTTTTAGAGGTGAAAATACTGTATATCATGCAAGTAACAAAATTTTGTACGCTAAAAATACAAATTTTAAGAATTTTAGAAGGATTCTGAGATCAAATTTTCATGTTGAAACCTTTTAGAGTAATCATTTCTAACCAATGGACCATTTATGAAGATGAAAACATTAATTTAACGAGTCTCTGATGCTTTTATTATAATCAATCAATCAGAGATGAAGCAATTGCGGCGATTTATAAAGGAAATCGCCAGAATGGAAAATGAAAATGGAAGATAAATGAATCGAAAAGAGAGAAAAGAATGCGAAGAAATATTATATCGATACCCTTAAATGGGTAAGGAAGAAGGATTAGAATTAAGCTCAGGGTTTAGAAGATAAGTTTATGTAATCTCTCGTGTTAGCATCTTCAATAACATAACTCCACAGAATAAGTTATTGATGTATTAGATCTCATTTCTAAACGATCCGCTGTGTATAAACATAGAAGAAGGGCTCTAGAAGACTGCTGGTTCGGTTAGAAGAGAAGCCAATTAGAAGGGATCTAGAAGAATACTGTCTTCTGGCTCCGAAGGGCTCTAGACTACTTCTAGAGTCTTTCTAACCGAGTTAGAAGGACTCTAGAAGTCTACTGTATTCTCTCAGAACGGAAGACAGAAAACTAACGACTCAGTTAGAAGAGGAACCAGTTAGAAGGGCTCTATAAAACTATTGACTGGATCAGGAAAGCCAGTTAGAAGTCTCTAAAAGACAGTAGTAATCTGTACGATTTTGCTTTATAAACGACATTTGTTAACACCAAATTATGTGTCAACCTCAAATTTGTTTACGCACTTCGGTTTAGCGCCATAGTTCTCGATTTAGTATCAATTTCATTAGCAAACAAATGGCGGCTCCGAATCGAAGTTTGAATGTAAACGACTTTAGTTTCACAGCCAATCATTGTCCGTAACGAATATTGAATGATCAATCTCTATTGGCTGGAATCAATTTAAAACATTTTATGCTTCGAACATCGCAAAGGTCCGCCTATATTCATTATTAATATTATTTTCCTTTCATTTTTACGTTTCAAGGTAAACAAAGTAAGGAATTTCGCGATGCTTCAATTTAGCATTTAAACATACGGTGGCGCTAAATCGAAGTCTATAATCTTAAATCGAAAGTACACCACATATTTTATTTAATTAAAACAATATTTAAGACTTTAATAAGATTAAGACTCACGATGAACTCCAGTTTATCTCCACGCTCGATTTAACGCTAATTTCGACAGGCAATCAAATGGCGGCGCTAAAACGAAGTTTGCAAATCGTAATACCGTAGATATATTTTATTTAATTACGAACAAAACATTTAAAACTTAGAGAATCGATAAAATATTTAATTTTCTGAAGACCAAAGAGGATTTTAGCAAAGTCTAATCTCATTAAAATGATAGCTTCGGTTACTATTTATTATTCATTTGTTTATCTGACGTTGAATATTTGAAATATAAATCAACTTTATTAAATCAAAATATATTTATATATTTTCCCCTTTTTAACGTCGAGATAATGAAAATGTAATGATAGATGTCGGCAGTAAAACGTTTATCCAATTTATTCCAACAATTATATTCAATTCTCTTACAGAAGAATGAACACTATCCAATTTTCCGTATTCAACTAACTAGATAATGATTATAATTTTTCTCCTTGTTTAATATTGATTTTAAAATTCAATTCTTTGTTTAAAATTGGCAAAATCTTCAGCAGTTTTCAATTAAAAATCTGTATCCATTTTGGGAGGGATCGCGTGAGGATCGGGAAGGTAATTGCACGTAAGCGAAACAAGCTGCAGCTTATGAGTCTATAGTTTAGGGCCTCACGTCAAAAGTCTATATAGGTTAGATCCTGGCGTCATGAATCTATATCCGAGGGCCTCTATATTAGAGCCTCTCGTTATAAGTCTATAGCTGAGGGCCTTGCATAATGAGTCTATACCTGAGGACTTCGCGTTATTAGTCTGTAACTTAGGGCCTCGCGTATGAGTCTATAGTTTAGAGACTCGCGTTATGAGTTTATAGTTTAAAGCCTCATATTCTTACACCTATCATTATTGAGTAGAGTGGAAGGGCTTGTTATATGTGTCAGCTTAAATCCACAAGTCAGTCCAGCAACACTGGTGAGAGGAGGATCTGTAGAAAATTATCAATAAAAATCGCATTTTGGGAGTATAAATCATAAAATTATTCGGTATAAACGAAAGAAAATTCGATTTTTGATTAATTTAAATTCTTAAAGCCATAATTGAACGAGGAAATATGCAAGATCTGAGGGAATAAAGCCATAAAATTATCCATAAAAATAGCTTTTCTGGGGGTGTAAAACAGAAAAATCATTGGTAAAATCGAAGTAAAATTAGAATTTTAACTCTAATATTCGCTTAAAAGAAGAAACCGAATTTTTGTGGGGGAAGGAATGTTTTTTTTTTCTTTTTGCCTCGAGTGGGAGCCGAACCCACGTTCTTCAGCGAGGAAAATTAATAAATCAATACAGTAACTCAGTTATTTCCTGAAGAGAAAAATGTCTCGAATCCTAAGAATTTTTGGAAAAAAAAAGATGTCAAAAGTTGAATATCCTATAACTAACATTAGTAGGAATTGTTACTAAAAACCTTCGATTTAGCGCCATCATTTGATCCCCTTGTAAATCGAATGGGGCGCTAAATTAAAGTGTTTTAAATACAGTAACGACGTCTGCAACTAAACGTAGACTGGAGGCCTCGCCTTCTTAGAGGCCTCATCTTAATGCTCGTTTACTGATATTTTCATCTGTATCTGTATGCCTCTAAAAAAATTAGGCCGATATGGCCTCAAAAATACTTAAAAACGGAACCAGAGACGTAACATTTATGGGGACGATCCGTTTACAGATAATCGTCGGCGACTTACGAGATTGACGCTATTTAGAATGGGCGTTATATCGAGGTTTGATTATACTTTTACACATGAATTCCTGCTGTTTCAGACAAACTATTTTATCAAGAGAATTATAAAAGTTTCTTAATACTTTTAAGTGTTTTGGGGATGAAAATCTCCACGTGCGCCGATTGTTTCCCCCGTGTAAAAATTTTCGCAGAACATTACACTCTTCTGTTAATTCTGGTATCGATTACGGTAGCATCTGCATTCGATTTATTCGTTCGTTTGTCTGACCGCAAAGTTTCACGTGAACTACAGTAATTAATTACAACTTTTAAAATATATTTTACACACAGGATGGTCCATAAATAAGTTAACCGCAAACCTGTAATAACAGGACGACTTTTGAAAGAAATTATATAAAAAGCTTATTTTCGAACGGTTAACCGATTTTTGGGCCATCCCGTATTGTTTTAATGCTTCTAATACGTTAGTAAACAGTAAAATTACCGAATAAATCAGTCTTAAATAGATAAATGAGGCCTCACTGAAGGATTGACACAGGGCCCCTCGCTTACAGGGGATTCCGTGATGTCTAGGGCGAGCATTAACTAGGCCCTAGACACCTCGGAAGACCCTTATATATATATATATATTTTTGCGCCGGGGCCCTCAAAATATGGAGCCAGTTCCGAGTGAGGTCTTGTTACGATAACAAAATAATTATATACAGTATTTATTTAATTATTTACTTTATTTCATTCACACGTTCGACTGTCTGTTCTCAAGACTTCGAAATAAACCTGAACTTTTGACTTATCGAATGACTAAGTTTATTCATGGGATGGCCCAAAAGTCTGCTTTGTTTTGCGTTTTTCGGGTGGCCCAAAATTCGGTTAACCGTGTTCCAGGTATATTTACCAATAAGAAAAGTTTATACTGAACGATTTTTGTAGAGTTAGAGTGAAAAATTATTTAAATAAGACAGGAATTTAGTCTTTATAATAGTTAAGTGATTTTTGGGACACCTTAAACAAGGGTGAAGCTTAGGGCCTCGCGCTATTAGGTTACAATTTAGAGCCCATTATTTGATGGAAGAGGGTAACCAGAGCTCTCGATATAGCGAACTTTCAAAGAATCGCACTAACACTACATTAGAGTTCATTTAAAGAATAGCAAAGATAAACACAATTGTTCACTATATCGAGTAATCGATGTATCGAGAGTCAATTATATTTTGTTTCGTTAAAACCGGGATTAAATCGAAATTTTTTGGGCGTTTATAGGATCAGCGAGGATCCGCGAACTACAGGTTGAGTGAATTATTAGTTCTAAATATAAGATATGGACTCTCGATTTAACGACATTCAAAACAAGCCAACTTAATATCCAGTAGTCACTATATCAATTGTCTCTACGCTGATAACCTTATTAATTCCTTAAATTTCCAAATAAATATAATAAAAAATAGAAACGTACAGTACGTCAACACCAGAGTTAAATACGTCACAGTGGAGTAAATCTGTATTTTTTTAAAAAAAGGCTTAATTTTTACATAATATACAATTAAATAAAGTAAATTATTACTTTAAATGGATTAAGCAAGCTTTAGTATCATTCACACCACGCGCGCAACATTGGCAGTAGCGTGCATGTTGCAAGTGCAAGTGTACCGATAACACTTAACGTCACCCGATTTAACGGCAAAGAAAAAGACTAAAAATACTTCGCATCAAAACAACGTTTACGCGTTATAACGAGAATCGTTAAAGGCAATTACGAGTTTAAAATTGAAATAATATACATACCGAAAGGAATATATTTGAAATTGCACGTTCTTGCTTAAAATCCTTACTTAAACTTTGATTTTCGCAGCGTTTCGACTTCTTAACTTTGTTTTCGATATAACGTTGCCTTAATAAGAGTGCCTCTTGACGATGCTGATCGCATATACCGCTAATTGAATGTTCGTAACGGGGGAGGCATGCATTTTGATGACGTCGATACTTTTCGAATCTTCGTTGTAATCTTTCAACAATAGCTTGCCTCTTAGCGGGTAAGATATCTCCCATACCTCTTGGCAAATTATGCCCTATAGGGCTCGACAACGCCGACGAGCGGCGTCCGGTTACGGTTAAACACCAACCGATCACCTAAATGGTAACAGATATTCCAACGATATCAGTGACGTACGGCTTGAACAAAGCGGGGAGACAACTTCCAAGCGTCTACATTCGGAGTCCTGTACTCGTCTACTACGCTGTAACGGGGAGTCACATCGGCGCGACCAGCGCCATTGCATATAGCTGCGCACCGCTCTGCAAACTTGACTCAGACTGAGCGAAGGACGTGTGTGCAAACTCTGTATAGTTACTTACACACTTGCCATCCCTCCCTCCCCTCCTGTAACGTTCGCCGTCCCTCGCGGTCTCTTTTAAAAACGTTCCGGATTGGACGCCATTAGCGATCGTACTGCCCTACATCCGGGATGGCACTTTTATAATAGTAATAATAATAATAATAATAACAACAATAATAATAAAATATAAAATAAAAGCAACACCAACAACTTTCAAGTTATTTAATTGGTTGCTCTGTTGTCTTCTTCGCGCTGTGTTTATATTTTTGTGCCACTAGGGGGATGGGTTTTTTTTATTGTATTTACATACACGACGCTCGATTTGCATAATTTAAATAATTATACCCGTTAAAATAGTAAGAGGTGCATACTACACAAGATGGTTGCCTCGTGTTTAGGTACAGTACATCTGTAAGTAAATGCAGCGGGTGTACTGTACGTAAACATCACTCGACTGTGTTGAGAACACTAATAATACGTACAGTGTGTACCAAACACACAGTATCGGCTTACTGATCGTTTAATAGATCACCATACACGTAAATAGTGTTTAGAATACACTCACAATAAGTATCTCTCACACACAAGGCCGGTTTGCACGTAAGCTAAACAAGGCCTTGTGTTATGAATCTACGGATTAGGGCCTCGTATTTATATATATATATCGTTATTTGGTGTAAAAGAAGGGCCTGATATACGTCATAGCTTAGGGCCACAAGTTTCGCCTTGCTTTTTAGTAGGCCCTACTAGCGAGCGTTTAACACGTCACACACGAAAATGTTTGAGTAAATTACAAAAGTATCAACTAGTCTTTTCGATTGACTTAAAAAATGTCGTGTATATTTGTTTTCTTGTTGAAATTTCGAGCCAATATACGACAACTTCAGCCCGATTCGCTGTGTACTTGCCTCGTTCTCGCCATAACTGTAAACTGTCTCGCGCTAGAAAGCGCCATCTCTCGTCTAGAATCGAATTCTAGAAAATTTGAATTAATCAATAATAGTCACGTGCACATAAAACGTTCGTAAATTTGTAGGTAATTCAAACTTTCTTCATTGAAATGCGGGTATTTTTTTGGATCCTGATCCTAAATTCGGCGCGTGGAATTATAAAATAAATTCCGAACGTTTCTAGAATAATATAAAAGTTTAGAAGTTATATAAAAAAAAAAAAACACAAGCTAAGAAACTAGAGAAATCCATCGTTTGCGCTTCGCTTCGCGTTGCAGGCGCGTAGCATTTTAAAGCAAAATACAAGTTATTATCGCATTATTTTCGATAAAAATGTATTCGATTTAAAGTTTTTTTTTTTTTTTAATAATTTAAGTAAATAAATAATTAATTTTCTGCAGGTTTAGGTCTACGAAACGTTAGTCGCTTCCAGTCGCGTCCAGTCGCGAATGAAAGCGACGCGTGCGTGCGAAGTGTATTGTATCTTGCTTCGTGCTAGATGAATCTTTTAAAATTATTCCAAATAAAATACTTTATTTGCATAATAAACAAATTAAGAAAAAATACGAATTAAATTAATTTTATAAACAGCATTTTAATTAAATTATTAGTTTCTATTCTATTAAATATTTCAGGTTTTTATATAGGTTAAAAGTCTCATATCCTCTAAAAAATATTTCAAATTAGTTACTCAGAAATTATTATTATTTTTATTATTTTAACACGTTTTAAAAAATAAATTTAAATAAATAAATTTAATACGCAAAATGGAAATATTAATATGCGCGCCGCGACTATATCGCGACGCGACGCGTAAGAGTCCTGTTCGATTACGCCGCAATATTGTCTATAAAATAAAGAAGTATACGATAAAAATGTTAATAAAATGGTTAAAAATCATTTATAAATGCATTAAGACAGTTTATTTTATAAAATAATTAATTAATTTTTAACAGTAAGTGATTTTTTTGGCTCGGAAGGTTGTCGCGCACGCCGACGCGTCGTAAATCTAACAAGAATTTTCAAATTTTAGCGATAAAAACAATAATTTTTAAGATAAAACGAATTTTATTTAATTTTTTTAATGTTATATAAAAAATTAATTCAAATTCCTTAACTTTTAAGGTTATAAACAGCTGAAAAACTTTATTTCCGATAGTTTTAACGAAGTAAAACGTTCGGAAATAGAAAAACAAATCTCCATTAATCTGTAGTTTTCAGTGATAAATAACTTAAATTCTTTAGATATAAGAAGTGACAGGCAGACAGACTTACAGACACTTCGGATGGTAAGTAAGCTCGTGAAGAATGCTAACGTTTGAGCTGATAATAGAGTGATATTTAAGAATAAACAGACGGATAATTCGGAAATTACGAACAATTTACAGTTATATTTGGAAATAATTGATTTAAAATTATAGAAAATTTTATAATTTTAAAGAATTTTAAATTATAAAATTAATTATAAATAAAGTATAGATAAAATATTAATTTTAATTAGTACATTAAGCTTTATCACATGGTCATGTAATGAAGATTTAAAAATTTAAACTAAATGAAAATTAAAATTTTATCTATCTTATAATGTTTAATCTAATGATGATTAAGGCTTTATTATGAATAAAATACAGTCGACTCCCCTATAACACTGTTGATAATACCGTTTTATATGAATTCCGTGTTGTACGAGTCACTTAGATTTTACAAATACGTGTGTCGGACTGTGAACGGCTCACGTATTTGTAAAATCTAAGTGACTCGTACAACATGGAATTCATATAAAACGGAATTATCAACAGTGTTATAGAGGGTCGACTGTATGAGATAATTAAAATTTTATTTGCATAGATTTTAATGTTATTCTTTCTCTGTTCTAAGCGGTTTTGAATAAGATTCGTGTTAGAAAAATATAAAAAAATTTTTAGTTTATCGAAACGATTTACACTTTATTGCATTATTTGTCTTGTTTAAAACAGTTGGGACGACTGTAGACTGTTTGGTGTTGGTACGCTTGATGGTTCCTGAAAGCAGAATAGGACGTTCTCATTCCTCTTTACTTGTAGGCAAGACGTTTTAATTTCCTGTCGTTCCATTCTCAGGATCCATTCCCCACTCCATTCTCAGCTACAAGACGTTTTCATTTCCCGCTCCATTCTCAGGATACAGCACATTTAAAATCCCCACTCCATTCTCAGGATACAGCACGTTGCCATTCTCAGGATACAGAACATTTTCATTTCAATTCTTTAAGAACTATCAAGGAAACACATCGTTTCCTCACATACTTCTGAGAATAGAAACGTCCTATTTCCATTCTCAGATACTACCAAATACACCAAGAACGTTTTTCACAGCGAAAATCCTTTCACAAGCGACCAATAAACCATTAAAGAAAGACCAATACAGTCGACCCCCCTATAACACTGTTGATTATACCGTTTTATATGAATTCCGTGTTGTACGAGTCACTTAGATTTTACAAATACGTGAGCCGTTCACAGCCCGGCACACGTATTTGTAAAATCTAAGTGACTCGTACAACATGGAATTCATATAACACGGAATAATCAACAGTGTTATAAGGGGGTCGACTTGTATTATTTCAGTGTGTTTTAATACACTTTTAGTGCTTACTCCAGTAATTACACGAATGTACAATGATTTTAAAAGATTGCTCAGAAACTCCTATAAATTTTAAATAATACGAAAAAGAAAATTAAAGAAGCTATAAATAAATAACTTTGAAATTTATAGAAAAAATATTATAGAAACTGTAAATTTTCTATAACTTTTTTTTTTTTTCGATAAATCGTCTAGAAAATGTAAATTTTCTGCCAAGTGATGCGGAAGTGAGGCCAGAAAAAGATACAGGTAATGCCACTTTCTTGCTAATGGAAATGTGCCAGAAAACGTATTTAACACGGGCTGTGACAAGTTATCATAATTTGTCATAAACGTACCGGATGTATGGAGACTTCAATGAAGAAAAAAAGAAATAAAAAATACAGATAAATATATCTACAATGACATGATTGGCCATTATTAAAAAATCTGTCGGAGTTAATGCAATAATGGATGCTTTTTAAGCATTAAATCAAACGTTAAAATGTTAACGATGTCTACTTTTTATTTTTTTTTTTTAAATTCAAATTAAATTTCCTAGTTAATTTTAAATCTTAATGTTATATGTGTGTGTTTCCCCCCCCCTTTTTTTTCGAAAATTTGACGAATTAGAAGATACATTAAATAAAATTATGGAATGTCTTGTACGGATTTTTTTTACAGAAAAAAGTGCTTAAAAATGTAGTAAAATGAATTAAAATGTTACTGAAATAAATCAGTAAGGTACAAATATGAGTTACAAAGCTGTAGAGTTAGTGACTGTTATAAAGTTACAGTTTTATTTATTTTACTACTCAAATAAACATAATTCAATTTAATATTTGTGATATAACCTTCATTTTCTAAATTCTGCAACGTTTTAAAACTATTTCCAACGTAACTTTTAATAAAAGAGGGGTCAGTAAAGAGAGTTGGGCCCCAGAAAAGGCCCACAAAATTTAAGTTTTTTTTTATATACTGTAGAGAAGATATGGCCTATAACTCTGCACGTAAAGGCCTTAAAATTTAGTTTTCTAACATTTAAAATGTTTATAAGATTACAGAAAACACACTTACTGGCATCACTAGATATACAAGTTATACAGGTGCAGCATACTAGAACATAAAAATAATTAATTTATTATTAAAAATCAGTCTAATCAATCAGATATTTAATTAAATTTTCAACATAGGATTGTGTTTTATTCATTTCTTCCTGAATTTTTAACGTTAAATTATTATTCAATAAGCTACTTCATCCCTCCAATCAGGTATTCTAAGCATGTGTTTTTAGTACATTAATTGCATACTAAGGCAACAATTGTGAAGATTTATCAGGAAATTTAATAAAATATTCTTATTTTTTGAGTGTTTTTTATTATATTTAGCTTATAATTTAGTGTGTATGAAGTAGTAGAGATTTTTTCTCTACGGATTTGGGCGCTTTTGGTTGCATTTATGGGCCAATACTTGCATAAATTTGA